AATACACTAACGCTGGGCGTCTGAGACGGGCATGTTATGAACAGACATCCTGTCAAGGTCACGGCACCCATGCAAAATGAACAAACAGTATAGCAATAGGTAGGGGAGGAAAAGGGGGGAAGGTATTGGGGGAATGGAATCTCCCAAGTAAACAGTGTTGCCATAATACGTTTGTGAAAATTCCCGTGGGCCTGTCAGACCGGGGTTTCGGTATTAGTGTTAGAACAAACTGAATAAATGAATGAATTAATGAATTTAGTTTATTCCAAAAAACATTGGCTACAAACTGTGATTATAACTAAATAAAGTATATTAGACAGAGACTTTTGTCACTACAAATATATATACGAGTTTTAATAAAGCCAAAATATATAGAACAATAAAATAAAGAAACTAGCAGACATAGGCAGTGCTACCTGTGTGTCTGCTAAGTTGTTGTCAAATAGAAAAAAGAAAAATTATTGAATTTTGGAATGGCAATTAAAAAAGACAATAGGTCGTTATTATTATTAGTTAAGTAAGTGAATTTAACTACTACATGGTTGTATTGTATAGTTTTACCAGCTGTTGCCTTAACCCTTTCAGTGCTATGAAACGATATATCGTTGTTTTAAAAAATCTCTAAGGGATATAGAGAGGAAGGTTATTTTAACAAAAAGTTGCAAAACGGCCATTGGTGACCTGCATGTTCATAGGATACACTAACAACCACTTAGCTAAAAGATTCGCCCAATCCGATGATTTCGAGGTGTATATATAAACCAAGGATTATGAACACCTCACTATGCCCCAGTGGTTGTAGTATATCGCTACAAACACACAGGTCACCAATTATTTGCCACACAGGACGGGAATCAAACCCGAGCAGACGAATGCCACTGGCCAGGTGACACACGCCCTAGCCTTCTCGGCTATCTGTGCTTGAAGACTGAGGAGTCAAAAACTGGTATTTAAGCTGACGCCACCGATTGCGAACAGATAGCGCTACAGATGGTTGTTCAACGCGTTACTAGGTAGCAGCACTAGTTAGTCATGGACTATTTAGATGATACTTTTCAGTTGAAACACAACAGTGATCATAAATGTGTTCCTGAGACTTTGCTGCAAAACATTATTTTCCCTAAAATGGCTATATTACGATAACCTCGTCCAACTAAATCAAAGTTAAATTCAATATTACATTGTAAACTATATGTCTTATGATTTTATGAGATTTTGGTTTCAAACAATGCTATCAGAACATAAAAAATTATAGGAAAACCAAGAAAATTACAACAAATACCATGTTTTATTTAATGTTTACTACAAATACCGGGATTTATCTTTGTTATATATTTTCTTAATGTCTTATTATTCAAAATTAGCCTAATTAATAAAATAGTGACAACATTACGGTTAAAATTCAACAACAGGTAATGGAATTGAAAGGCAAACAAAAAAGTTACGAAATACAAATTATTGGCCTAGCACTGAAAGGGTTAATCGATAGTGTAAATTCCAAAGTATTAACCTGTTCTAATGTATACAAAATTATTCTCCATAAGAGTGCCATGGGAACTTTAAAGACCACTGGGGCAGAGCCCTGAGGAGTTTACCAAAATGTTATTTAACACAAACCTTCCCAGGGGTGTATATAACAACTTCCCAAAGCAGGCGGCTCCAGAGGGTAGGCCCGGGCCACCCAAAATTTTGAAAACCTATATATACAGTGTGTAAATTAAGTATGGAAACAAATCTGTATTTTTAAAACCGAAATAGATAGAAATATTCTATTTGTGGCAATAATAGTTAACAAAGATTCCGCAATTTTTCACATGAAAAATATTTGTTTACCCCCCTAACAGGGTAGGTGGTAGGGGGTGACTTATTTTTTTCAAATAGCAACCCCTATTGAGTGACCCCTCATTTTGAAGAGTTTGTCAAAAGAAACACAATGACGCAAATCCGAGGTGAATATCTCACTCCTAGCCCAAATGGCGGATATTCCAAAATTTGATTTATTGTACGTGAAAAGCACCAATTTCACAAATAATGGAAAGAAATCTGTATTTTTAAAACCGAAATAGATAGAAATATTCTGTTTGTGGAATTGATTGTTGACATAGGTTCCGCAATTTTTTTAATCAACAATATTTTTTCAACCCCTTTAACAGGGTAGGGGGTGGGAGTGACTTATTTTTTTCAACAACAACCCCTATTGAGTGACCCCTCATTTTGAAGGGTTTGTTAAAAGAAAAAGAATGACGCAAACCCGAGGTAGATATTTCACCCCTAGCCTAAATGGTGGGTAATGAAAAATTTAATTTTTGTAAAAAAAAGCCCATTTTGGAATATCCGCCATGTTAGCTAGGAGTGAGATATTCACCTCGGATTTGCGTCATTGTGTTTCTTTTGACAAACCCTTCAAAATGAGGGGTCACTCAATAGGGGTTGCTATTTGAAAAAAATAAGTCACCCCCTACCACCTACCCTGTTAGGGGGGTAAAAAAATATTTTTCATGTGAAAAATTGCGGAATCTTTGTTAACTATTATTGCCACAAATAGAATATTTCTATCTATTTCGGTTTTAAAAATACAGATTTGTTTCCATACTTAATTTACACACTGTATAAAATCCAATGTATGTTTGTTTGTTTGTTTGTTTGTCCTTTATGGACTACAAAACCGCTCGACAGATTGTAATGAAACTTTCAGGCATTATTAAGCATTATTCAAGGATGGTTTGTGTGAAGTTTGGTGTAGATCCGTCAAAAGGGCTCCGCCCCAGTGGCACTGGAGTTTCCCATGTTAAACTTATGAGTACTAATATTAAAATGGAATTAAAGAATCTTAACAGCTGGTTCAACTAAACAATTTGATTCTGTGATGTTCAATAGCATTAAAAAGTTAATAGGTTTACCAACAGGGTGCAGAACTATTATTTTTAGCGAATTTCCCTATAGGGAAGTAGCTATTACCGTAGGTCTCATGGTAAGACTTAGGCCCGGGACCGATTTACTTTTTCATTTTAATGTCCCCAGAGGCCAAAAACACCATTCGTTCAAATTTTTATATATGTATATATATATATATATATATATATATAGATTTATATATATATATATATATGTGTCCGTGAACACGATAACTTGAGTAATTTTTATCCGATTTTGATGAAATTTGGTTTGAAGGTGTAAGGCGGGATAAACTTGAATGAGTTCGCGATCCAGCATGATCGGCCCATGGGAACAGGGTTTTATGGGGTAAAAATTGGTTTTTCTCACTTTTTACCCTCAAAACACAAAATTTCCCAATTTTTCTCTAAACCTTCTTAAAGAGCTTAAAAAAACAAACAATTCAGTATATCAAAGTGTTTTTGTACGGTTATTGGTTACGGAGAAAACTAAAAAAATGGTAAATTTAAAATTCCCATGTTATTCTTATGGAGAATATTGTAAAATGTTGTAGTTTGCTTGTTTATGGATATATTTTGATCAAACTTGGCAAATTTATTTATTTTATAGTAAGCTATCAATATTTTACTAAAAACACACTACTTTATTAGTTTCGTTGTAGCAGCAAACCTAGGTACTCGTTAAACCTAATGTTATTTAAATAGATCAATTGAAAATCAATTCGGCCAAATGGAAATTCGCTTAGACGGCAGGTTTGCTGCAGCGGGGGTATTTATTTTTCATAACGCTTCTCTATGCTAAATTCCAATGATGAGAAAAACAGACACAATCTCAATTTATTTAGAAGTAATGTTGAAAAAGCGAAAAATCGTTGTCACAAGCATTTTTACTAATATGATTTTGTTTATATCATATATCTGCAAAAGTCATACAACGGGTTTCAATAACTAGAGGGGAAATTCTGAGCGAGCTGCACTTAAATTTTGCAAGATCATAAAATGTATCTTATTTATGTTTCATTGCATACTTTTACATTACAAAGTTGTTATTATTTCAGAGATGTAAATGTCTGTCTATGGTTTGTAATAAAATGTTTTTCGTAAATTATTGAATGTTTGTTTACAATATTATTTTATTTTAACTATTAAACTCATTTAACTGTAACTGAGGAAGGCTCAGGTCCCTGGTACTTCGGTTAATAAAATTAAAAAGAGATTGATTTGAAATCTATATATATATAAAAGGCAAAGCCCTCACTGACTGACTGACTGACTGACTGACTCAATCACTCATTCACTCATCACTAATTCTCCCACTTCCCATTTACCTAGGAGGCTGAAATTTGGTACACTGATTCTTTAGGCATTAAATAGGAAAACTAAGTGGTTTTTATTCTGATCGGACTCTCGGGCTCCGCCCCAGTGGCTCTGGAGTTTCCCATGTTAACTAATGAGTACTCATATTTAAATGGAATAAATGAATCTTAACAGCTGTTTCAATTAAACAAGTTTATTCTGTTCTATGATGTTCAATAGCATTAAAGTTACAAGGATTACCAACAGAGTGCAGCACTATTATTTTTTTTTTAATATTTGACAACAGCTAATTTGCAACCAAAAGGTGATTGAGCTTAGCGAACCAACTTCAACCTGGAGGCGAGTTAGCTTAGCGAACGTGCTGACCTGAAGGCAAGTGAGCGCAGCAAACAAACTTCAACCAGGACGTGACTGAGCCATGCGAACGAGCTCTCTTGAAAATGAGCGAGCATTTGACATAAAACCACATTAGGACGGGACGACGTCTGTCGGGCCAGCTAGTTGTAAATAAATAAAGACATTTAAGTAGGCCTTGTGTAATTAAAGGGAAAGCATTAAAGCATTAAAATTTTATATGCCTCAAACTTCTTGTCCCCTGATAAAACTCCTTCTTGACCCTTGTCAGGCCTACCCAAAAAATTATTCCTGGAGCCGCCCCTGTCCCAAAGTTTCATCACAATTGAATGGCTGGTTGGGTAATGCATTTTAAAGGACAAACAAACATACATTGGATTTTATATATATATAAACTAGCTGGCCCGTTTGAAATGTATCTGAATTTTGTTACAGAAAATAACCGAGAAAATGTGTATGAGGACAATGTAGTTTTCATTACCAACAGCCCCAAACCTCGAGGACGTCCGAGGAGATCAGCTATTTTGTCCAGAGTTAATCAGGCCAGATGTCCCACTGGGGTTGTGCCCAAGAACACCACAACCAATAGTAGAGCACTGTCACGCATCTCTCCTGTGCCTACCTTGCCTGTTTTACAGCTCACATCGATCATCCCTAGGTTTTCTCTGTTAGCTCCAATTTTTCGGAATCCTCAACCCATCAAATGTCTGGTGTCCGGTGTCAATGAGGGACAGAGGGTGGTCTGTGTACCTCGGCCAGTCAACAGGGTGGCGAGAAGTCCTCTGGAGGTATGTCAGTAGTATTGGTGATTTAATTTATTTTAACGTATTATTTTATTGATACAGTCAACATGTGTTGTTATAGATAATTCGTAATATATATAAGGTTATTGAGTGTTAGAAGCTAGTGTGTAGTTATAGTAGTCAATGCCTGACTTATCTCAAGATAGCTTCTTGCTGGGTTAGCTTTATGTAGAAATAAGGTTTCAGTAGTTTTAGAGACTGCCACTGATGGGGATTGCACTTCAATCATTTGTTTGGGGTACCTAGGAGTATTGTACTGGAAATGTTGGGGTGGAGAGATTTGTTTCACAGTTCAGATTTTGATGAGTAAGGCCCCTGTTACAATACGGTGGCTAGCCACATCACCAGTCACATGGCTAGCGACTGACACGGTGGCTGGCCACGTCGCCGATTACCAAACACGTCTGTTCAACACAGTTCAGTATTCTAGTTGTAAAAATAAATGCTATCAAACAGTGAGTAGAGGTCGTGCGCTTGGAAGGGAATAGCGGGGAGAGTGGCGGGGACAGAGGCGTGGCAGGGGAAGTGTTGCTATGGGAGGCGCTGGCGTACTAACCTAGGCGAAAAACTTAGTTTCACTTACCATCACATTACACATTACAGCAGTAGCGTAGCCAGGATTACGTTAAGGGGGGGGGTTATTCAACGTGACCATGCCGGGGGGTCTGAGGGGTATGGAATACCCTCCAGTCTACAGGGGGGTCTGGGGGTCCTCCCCCGGAAAAATTTGGAAAAATAATAGCTGTAAACTAGCGTTTTTATGCAATCTAGACATATTAATTTTTAAAACATAAATTGATTTTTAATTGAGTTTTTATTAGGCCTATAGGTATGTAACCTATTTGATTAAGGTGTTTAAACATGAATTTAAATTTGTTACCGTTTTACAGAAGAATATTAAAAATGTAACTAAAATAGTTTCTTAATAGTTCTTGCCTGATTTTCATTTTGCTAACTTTGGCCTAACTTCAGTTTCTTTCCAGGCCGCTTACAATTATCATCACTCATTCTTCAGGACTATCATAGTTAATTCAACTTCAGATATGTAAATGTAATTAATCACAAGGACAATGATGAGATAACGTAATATTTCAGCACCCAATAATCGATACGTAATTTATCTAAAAGTTCACAACCTCAAATCACGGTCAATTGTTTTACAACGCACGCAGTAACGCAGTAAGGGCATTAGTGATCTGATCTGTCTAGTGTCTAGCCTAGCCTATGTGACTACTGACACTGACAGTGACACTAACCAACCAGACTACTCCCCCGCGCAAAATGACGGCTAGCGAATCCACAGTGGGAACGGGGAGCGAGTAGAACTGGTGGAAGTGGAACCACTATTATAGTACTGTTCCAGCTCTGACTACATGGCTACATGTGATAGAATCAATGCCCGCCCCGTTTCATCAAAGCTTTGGTGAATATAGTCGTAGTGTACGCCTTTTGCCGTGACATGAAAAATGTTGTAAAACACTTAATATATTTCTAAGACTAGGTAAATTGTTTGGCACTTTCTTTATTTACTGGTTAGCATAAAAGTATACTACGAAAACATATTTACTTCAACAGTAAAATATATATATATAGGGACACCCAAGGGGGGGGGTTGTAACCCCCAAACCCCCCCCCCCCTTGGCTACGCCACTGCATTACAGCTGCTCGACACCACTGAACTCTCCATCGCTGCTATCGTCGGTAGATGGATTGTCAGCATCTTCGCTGTCACTGCTGTTGTCCCTAACACGTATCACGAAGCTGTCGGTTAACTCATCAGCATCCATTTTGTGCTCCATATATTTTCTTTGTATTAACCTAAGTATTAACATATGCGAATGCAAGTACTACTGGGAGAAAGGGGCCGCCGAAACTGCGTTTGCCCTGGGCACCGCCAACAAAAGGGACTGCTCTGCCTACCATATGAGAACTTAGAAAACTTATAATTCAAAACCTACCTTATTTAGCTTAAATTGCAGCATACAGAGTAGATAAATACATCAAAAACCACTGATCCTTTATTATATTGCAATTAATTTACAATATGTCAACAGAACAAGAACAAAGACAACTGGCCAGAAGACTTGAAGGGCTTGTTGGAAGAATTTGACGAACTTCCTGAGATAAGGACGACCAGCATGATCAAGTGGTTATTGACTTTGGGAGACAGATATCGGCCAAAAGCGGTCCAGAACATCCAAGATATGTGGAACAGCATGCCAGAGGTCTGGGAGGACAAAGTGAACATGGCTCTGGAGATTATTGGTATTGACCCTGTCCAGCAATCTGCAAAAGCTACTCAGGAGTCTGTCAATGCTTCCCAGCTAACTGTAAACACTTCCATGAGAGGTGTAATCCCTTCTGTAAACACTGCTGAAGTATCACCAATGTCTCTTCTTCTCCGTTGTGCCACTGTAAACATGCACCCAGAGTGTTGTGGGGCTGCTTCAACTTTCACCAATGATTCCAAGCTTCAGAGTGCTGGTTTGCTGCAAGTTTGCAAAGCTAAAGTAAGTAAAAATGTTTACGTTTTGTTTTTATAGTTGGCAGACAAAGCATTTTTTAAATGCTTTCTTGGTTTATGTACATTAGAGTCACAAACGAACGATTGAGTACCAAGAGAGTTTCGTGCTATTTCTGTGCGGTACGACAGTAAGTACACTGTTGTGGGTGTATCGAAACAACACCTTTTGCCACCCCTGTATTTAAGCTATAAGCTATATATAACTGTAGGTACTTTCGGAATGGTTCAGCGTGATGCACACCACACAGTTTGCCGCTTCATACCTGTGTCCTCACATGTCTTAGTGGTCGTATTTGATTTGCATAAAATTCTGACCCTTCAAATGGGTTTGCAAGGGTTACTCAATCCTTTGTTTTTTTCTTACAAGTTTACCAATTCAATTGTATTTGAAATTGAAAAGACACATTTAATTTTTTCAAAGAAATTAAAGAACGACAAATGACCATATCTACTACTAATTTAATGATATCCAATATGAATCGTAAGGGGTAAATTTGTGCTTTTCACTAGCATGTGTCTAACCAATTATACTCCATTCACAAAATGTAGGCGGTTTAGGGGAAGAAATCCATCCCCTCCTCATCTTGATCCTATTAAAACATAGCTCAACAGCTGAGATTTGTCAAAACGTCATAGCTTGTTTTTCATAGAAAACATGCAGAAGTAAAATAAACTTATTATGCAATAAACCATTTTGGAAACTATCTAAAAGACAAAAAAATAATAGCCCACTATAGGATTGTGATACCTGCCTGTTGACTAGTTCAAGCTAATAGAGGAAAGGGCTTCTAAAATAAACTGCAGTAGATATGCATGAATATTAAATAGTCTTTTGATTGAACATCGAAGTAGACGTTTTGTACCTTATTTTTGGCTTCTTTTCCTGTGTGTGTAAAGAAGAAAATTTCTTTTGCAGTAATACCCTCAGTGTTCAAAGTGAATGGTAATCACTTTGTAAAACTTTATCAAAATATGAAAAAAATGTTTGAATTAAACTGGTTTAGGGTTTTTAGTTTTAGCGAATTTCCCATATAGGGAATAAGTTATTACCTCAGGTCTCATGGTAAGACATAGACCCGGGACCGATTTACTTTTTTGTTCTGAGGTCCCCAGAGGCTAAAAACACCCTCTGTTCGAATTCAAATATATACAGTTGACTCTCGCTAATCCACACTAATGTGGCGGACATCCATTCCGGATTACGAAAAATCCGGACTATCGAGAATTTACTAAATACAGTACTGTATATAGCAGTTTTTTCAATTTTGTTTCAGGTCCACAGTATTGATAGCCGGGCAATGCAGTTCCACCGGTAATAACTTTTACCGCCATGTTATCCGAGTTTTTGATTATCCGAGGTAGTCTCGGTGCCGTTCAGCTCGGATAATCGGACTTCTACTGTACTGTGCCACTAAAAAAATCACGATTGCTGATCCGAACTAACCGGAGTCCGGATGAGCGAGAGTTTACTGCATTTATATACATATTTTATTTATTTTTTTATGAAAATGCCAAATAACTGGTATATTGTTCTTGAGGATTTTTTGAGAGAATTATGAAAAATGAAACATGAACCAGTGAGAATTTTCGTTTAATACGTTAACGTTTTCAAGCAGAGAGAAATTAATGAAATGTAAAAATGAACAAAACAAATAGATAAATATGAACAGTTTACAAATAGTTTAATTTTGAGAACATATGATTGAGTACAGTATGATTACATATGATTGAAACTCACAATGAGATTTATCAACTATCGTGTAAACATTGCCCAAAAGAATACATTGGCTCATTAAGAGTTTGAATGACAGGCCATCGTTTTGATGTCACTGATGTGGTACATGAAGAAAAAAGAAAACCAATCTATAATCATGCTGCTCACCACAACCAAAATTTTGAAGGCTGCTATACCCTTAAAGCCCTTAGCAACCAACTGGTCTTAAAAATTAAAATTTCCCTCTGGTTTAAGATAGTTAAGATAAGTTTAAGATAGTAAGTGGTTTTAATTTAAGATAGTAAAAAAGTGATTAAACTCGGCTGAATTTTAATTTTCTTTTAGGCTGATTTTATTTTTCTTTGATATGTACTCAATCATGTTCTCAAAATTAAACTATTTGTAAACTGTTCATATTTATTTATTTGTTTTGTTCATTTTTACATTTAATTAATTTCTCTCTGCTTGAAAACGTTTGTATTAAACGAAAATTTGCACTGGTTCACGTTTCATTTTTCATAATTCTATTAAGAAATCCTAAAGAACAAAAAATATATATGTGTCAGTTAACGCGATAACTAAAGCAAAAATGATCCGATTTTGATGAAATTTGGTACAAACCTGTAAATCTACGTTTATTCGGACAAGTTCGCGAACCAGCAGCATGATCGGACTATGGGAACGGGAGTTTAAGGGAGGTTTTATGGGGTAAACATTGGTTTTTCCCATTTTTGACCCTAAAAACAAAAAAATTCAAAATATTTTTCCAAACCATTTTGTAGGGATTAAAAAAAAGAAATAATTTTGTATCTTGAAGCATTGTTGTATGCGTAACGGTTACGGAAATAATTTAAAATATTGTAAAATTTAAAATTCCTATGTTATTCTTAAGGGAGAATAAATAAACGGTTGAAGTTTGCTTGTTTATGGATATATTTTAATCAAATTTGTCAATTTTGTTTATTTCATACTAAGCTATCAACATTTCAATAAAATAAGCACTTCAATACTTCCCTGTACTCTGTAGCTGCAAACATAAGTAATCATTTAAATTAATGTTATTTAAATAGGAAATAAATCTGACAATTTTAAGGGAATATTATATTTTAGTAGAATTCCAGCCAGGAAAATGGAAATTCGCTCAGCCTGCAGGTTTGCTGCGGCGGGGGTATATTAGATCTTCATTTGAGATTTGTAGCTCTTTCACTCTCATGTCTTACTTTATTTCTGTCAAAATAATAAACAGTTATATTAATGTCGCTTGTGGTATATTTACTTTTGCGACTGGTGGTTTCAGAACAATATTTTTGTTGACAGGTTGTTGTGGAGGCCCAGCCCAGCCTCATACAAGACTTGAACCAGCTGTCTGCATTGGCTGGGACTGGCAGCTATAGTAATTAAATAGCTTTATGCAATACATAACAAGACTGTAAAGTGTGATAGTTGCAAACATTTGCTCAATGGTCAGTATTTTATTATAGATATATAATATATTAGTTACTACTTTCAAGTAGATTTATGTGGCCTGGTTGCCGTTGATTTCTAGTTTTGAAGAGTTTTATGTACATTAGTCATAGGTTAAAAGATGACTATTACTGTTATAAAAAATATTTTTCTATATTTTGGAACTTTGGATGGTTAATGAGTCCTCAACTCGTAAAAATGTGCCTTCAAAAGGTACATAAACTTAACTCAAACTTGTGAGTGGAAATTAAATTTAAACCATATGTGACAGTCAATTTTACATTAGTTACAATGAGACCATGTTAGTTAAAATATTTCAGAATGTTTAAAAAAAATGACTCATATTTTATTGATTGTGTTTTGTTCTTGATAATGTTAGGTAATACTGTGCTAGTTGCATTGATTGCTTGATGATAATACTCTTATGTTCCTTTTTTTGTTCCTATGATTCACCATAGTATTTAAGTGTTTGTTCAATGTTTTTTTATAATTTTTATATAAAATTGTTTAATGAAATTTGTTGTATTGTATTATTAGCCTAAACCATCAATTTCTCACCTATAAAAGCCATCGGCAAATAATAACAGCTTAACTTGAATTATCGCTAGCATTTGGCTGTAAAATGCACCTATAAAAAATTACATTATCCTTCATAAACTACATCTAATGTCATACAACAATTAACCCACTGTATCAGATTGATTTTGTTTGACTACTATCTATGCTACTATGTAGTGTTCTATGAAAACAATCTTACACATTTTAAAGTTACAAACAATTAAATTTGTTTAGTTTTGAATGGAATATTGTTGATGGTAGTTCAAGTTTTAAATGTGCACGGCCTAATTAATATGAGGTTTGTGGTTAAAATGTATGAACTTTATGGAGCAAAAAACCACCAGTCCAAGAAAGATCTAGGCTTGGATTTAGGGATCAATTACTTTGATCTGTTCCTAAAATTAACAATTTACTATCTGCATGTTGAAGGTAATTAGACGGCGGAAATTATAGTTTTACCCTCAAAAAATTCCTACAAGATGTATTTCTGCAGTTTTCTGAAGTATTATGTGTATTGATCAACATACTAAAGTTTACCAAAGTTTGACCACCGGAAACGCCTTATTTTCAAGATGGCGTCCAATATGGTGTAAATTACCTAACGCATGCAATTTTTGCTCTAGAAAAGTAATACTGGTGTCTACCTATATGTTTTCAGGGCCACTGAATGCAAAAAATACATTTAAAATTACAACAAAAATTTATTTTTTACAAAACAGCACATTTACAAGTACATTTACAAGTATTCATTGTCAACTTCTTCATCCCAGAGTCATTGAATTTATTTTCACAGTTTCAGGTTTGGCACAGTCCACATGCAGACGTGCATGGTAGTCCATATCTTGTGCAACTGTATCGCATTGTTTGATACGCAGTTGTGCAATTACAGTGTAGAATATATGTAGAAGACTTTCTGGTGCAACAGGTTTATTAGTCATTATCAGTACATACTTATTGCTCTCTAGCTTCCATCCCCAATTAATAGTATTCATATTTTTATCCATTCCAGTCCAATTCATGATTTGAAAATACACTCTTAGGCAATGGTATTTTGTTGATGACTCGGTTGGAGGAAGTCGTTCTGGAGTAACAAATGATGTAGCAAAAACAATCTTTTTACTTAAGAGTTTACAGCGCAATGGGCAAAGCTAGGGAATCGGCACTTCTGCCCCCAAATAAAACTGCCATTACTTTGCTTCCGTGCATCTCTATGTCAGTCTAGCTTTTGGTTCGGAGTTAGAAACAAATTTGCACAATCTTCAATCGTTGCATTTCTGCTAATAAGCCCCTGGAATGCTGACTTCTTTCCTACACTGAATATGTGCGATGTTGAATCACATCTGGTGAATGCATGGATGAATAGTATGCGAACACAAGTTCTTACCCAGTATTTGTTTGATCTCATTGTCATAGACTTTATGGTTTGTACAAATCTGGAGTAACCGAATCAGCCGCATTCTTTTCAAAACGCAGAACTTCATTGTATGAAGAACTAAATCCCTTGGCATGTAAAGTATCGACAAGAAATTGAGATCAATATAGATGGTTTACCTGAACTGCAAGGCCGATTTGTAAAGGGAGCAACAACAGCGTGTGGTCGGGCTGCTTGGATGATGGCTTGACCAATTCCTGCTACCTTACGATATGTATTTTTGCCTACAAAAACAACATTTAACAAAGTCTGCAAGCATCCAGGTATGAAAGAAAGGGCGGAATCCAGATTCAGGAATTTCTCACTTGGATAGGCCTATACTGGTCTGTAACGGACAGAGTGGAGGCCTTTATATTTATATCACTCCTAATAAGACGGGCTGCTGTTTCGATGATAGCCCTGGGATTCCTCGTCCTTTTCAAGTATGCTGAAATAGGATCTAAAAATATTTTATATAAATTGCTGTAGGATGAGACCTATGAGTTAACTCCAATATGATTTATGGTAATGAATGGAATCAATGACCTTTTACTTAATTAATTTACTCAATGGATGTTACTCTTATTAATTCATCCAACTGACCTATGACCTGACTCTGAGCAGGTTTCACTGGAGGAGGTCTCAATTCATTAATCTTGTGAGTGCTCTGCTCTATTACAAGATTTACTTGGTGGTCACTCACAAGGAATAATAAAATATAACTGATCATGTCTTGTGGAAAACATCATTCAAAATTACTTATAATGTAGATGGCGTTTAGTACCGGTAATTAATTTAAAAAAAACTAGCAATAACTTTATTAACATGGAGATAGAATGTCTAGCTCCATCATCAACAGTCAAAGCTATCTAATATCTTAATTTGTGGAAGAATGTGGATGATTCACCTCCCCCAAATTGATGGATCAACCCTAAGGATCAGCTGAAATTGTTAAAGGTAATTTGTCTTTGAGAATCGGTTTTGATGTTAAAATTGTTGATTTCATTAACTTTTAATCAACTCTAACCAAAGAAAACAATCTACTGTATTAGCTATTGTTTTCCCTTTTGTATTATTATAAGAGCAAAGCAATTCTGTAAAAATAAGAGAAATCCTTTAAAGTACTTGAACGTATCTGGACATAATACACGATTTAAAAGAGTCTCCAGATTTTACACTTAAATTTAAAAATTAATTGTAGTATCAATGTCAATGATGTAAATATAAATTGTAAATATACAATACCCTCGTCAAAATGAACCTGCAGGCTAAGCAAATTTCGACTTTCCCGATTTGATTTTCACCAAAATATTTGCTTTGACATCACAGATATCTTCCCTATTTAAATAGCATTAAGTTAAACTAGTACTTAGGATTGCTGCTACAAGGAAGGTAGGTACCTACCTAATTAAATGAGTTATTTTTTGAGAAATTTTAAAACTTAGTATGAAATAAATGAATTTGCTAAACTGAATCAAAATAAATCCACAAATAAACTACCTACAATAGTAAAATGATTCTCCATAAAAATAACATTGGAATTTTAAAGAAAGGTTTTTTGGGAATTTTCTCTGCAACCATAACCCATATTAAAACACAAAACTATTTGTTTTCCAATCCCTGCAAAATGGTTTGGAAAGAAATTTCTAACTGTTAGGTTTTTAGTTTAAAAAATGGGAAAACCCATTTTACCCCATACAACCACATTCCCATAGTCTGAATGTGACTGGCTTGTGAACTTGTTCGAGTTTGTAGGTTTACACATTTGAACCAAATTTCATTGAATTCGGGTAATTTTTATTTGTTGACTATTAAGCAGTGGACATAAATCTAAAAAAATTGTCCGCGGAATTATTTTACAAGATAAAAAAAGACTTAAAAATGAAACCCAAGGTTGGTTTTCAAGATAACATCAATGAGATGAATGGCAGTGAACAAGTGAACACTTGCAACTATGCCTGATATTTATTTGACAGATGTTACACGAGGTTCCATGACAGTGACAATGAAGTCACCGAGTGTGACTCACTTAAGTGATCATTAGGTAACGGTAACGCTTACTTTCTATCTTCGCACCAAGATATTTTTACAACACCAAAGAGCAAAGTGGATTTTAATAAAATAAATAACCTTAGGATGGAGATTATATATTTTATCATTAGAATAGGTTATATGTTCTGGTTTTCTACAGTGTTGATAGTTCTCATTTCATTACAATTTACAACTAGTAGTAATACACAGTATGGTTGACTATCTGACTAATTTATTTAAGCATTAAAATACACAATTCATTAGGAAATGGGATTGGATGTAGAAGGACTACTTGCTGCTATGTCGGCCATAATCCTTAATCAGGAACAATATAGTAGTAAGCTATTTCTTTATATTTCTATTGTATAACTTTTGATAGCAAATTCATTATTTCACCGAACCAAATGTAAACACCTGATGGATAAAACATGTTTGGTAAAATTAGTAACTTTTACGCTTTTACTTTACCATACAAACCCAGTAACCTTGTTATAAAAATCAGGGTCTGTCCGATGGACACTAGGAATGATATACTTTATCTGTAGAATATAAGTGATGAGGTTGAGGAGTAGGATGAGACCCTCACGAGTCACTCGAGTTGAAGCGAATACAGAGAAGCTGTGTGACTGGTTACTTCGTCACCATCCATTCCCTTCCCTAATACTGATGTTATAATGTTCTTAAGCAGTGGAATTGTTGGAAGGAAACTGTCAACTGTCATATGGCTAGAGATATTGGCAATGAAGCGATGTTGAGAGTTTTATGAGAAAAATATAAATAAGTCAGCTACAAAAGGAAGAATAATTAAGTAGTACCTCTTTCTTCTGTTGTTAATACAGTGACTTTTGGCAATATAAAGGTGACTATTGACCCTCTCACACTGTGTCACAGGCTATGCGTTCTGAAGCAGTCAGATGAAGAATTAAAGCACTTCTTCACACGTGGATTTTCACCATTACCCTTGTATCAATTGAATGAAAAACTAAATTATAGTTCACACATCCAAACGTCTCAAGTTAGTCATACAAGTCAATTTTCAACTGATACCCCTACAGGACGAGTCCATGTCAAAAGGTACAAGGATCATCTAATCACAGACACAGTCGCCCTCAGTGTTCTCCAACCAGCTCCCGCGGCGATACAATTAAATAAATACCGTTCGTCACAGGCCTGTTCTATTCCCGAGAAACATTTATTGTTACAATGTACGTGTGTGTTTATGTAGATAGATACAATAGATTTATTTCCATAAAAAAAATGTATAACACAATCTGTTCTTGAGTTGAAATAAATTAGTTTATTTCTTATTATGGTTCTTTTATAAAAATTGACAAAATTTAATAGCTTGAAACTTAAAATACAAGCATTTAGGGAAGATTTTATGAACCATGAAGAGGCATATCTCTAAATGTGTTAGGCCTATAATCACCATTTTGGTCTTAAATTGTGAGTAATTTAATGT